TGACCTGCAGGTTGAAGCACTGCGGGTAGTTCTGGGCGCCGTTGGGCTGGCCACCGCTGTGCAGGGCGATGATCTCGTGACGAAGGACGTAGTTGCCAGGGGCAATGCCCTCGGGGATCTTGACCATCCAGGAGTTGTTGTTGGCAATCAGCTGGTCGGAAGCCCAGAAACCAGGGGCGTTGGTGCCGTCAATCAGGCCAGCCTCGGCGACCTTGAAGAACTCAAGGCTGGTCTTGTCGACGGTCTCGCAGCCGGCGTCACCGCAGCTGGCGAGGTAGTCGATGACGGGGCCGTGGTGGGACTCGGGCCAGGTGTCCCACTGGATGAAGACGGAGTCGCCGGCGGCAACAACGGCATGGCCACCAGCGTTGGTAGCGGACTTGTGGCAGATGATATCACCGTTGCCAAAGGCATCGGGGGCAACGAAGCCGTTGTCCGAGTTGCCCTCGGTCCAACCAACAACCGTCGGCGGGTTCGGGTTGTAGGGGAAGCTGGTGGGGTCGAAGCCCTCGTACGAGACGCCGTTGATGACGATGTTGGTGACATGGCCGTGGGCGGCAACGGACACCGCACCCGCAAGGGCGGAAAGGAGAGTCTTGGAGGTGTAAGAAGGCATCTTCGAAGCTGGTTCGTCGGTGATGGGGAAGCAAGTTGTGAGGTGTCGAAATCTCAGTGGTGCCGTCTAGCGGAAAGAATGAATCGAGTCGTAAAGGACAGGAAATGAAGTTGAATCTTCAATCAATGAAGTGAATGTATGGAAACAAGAATGAATGGAATGACTTTGCTCAAAGGTCGCTTGCGCCTGGTGAGAGAAGAGTCCAGTCTATCGAAGGGCTTGAACCGCTTCTTATATCTCATGATGGTTCCGAGGGAAGCGTACCCTCGTGGACTCCCTGAACGGCGCTTCTACCCACTTGGGCGCCAAAGCCCGTCATCCACCGTCATCCAACGGCGGGCGAGAGAGAACGTGCGCTGGCGGTGATGAAGATACGGAATCTTGGCTGGCGCGGGGAGGGGTCACTGCGTTTCAGTGAAATTAGCGACGCCAACCGAGGTGGACCAGACACTCGGTTTCTTGAGAGCGCGGGGGATCATGATAATGCTGGGTAGAAGGGGGAGGTCCAGGGCGCATCAAGCTACCGACATTGCGAATGGCAGAAGCAAGTCTTGCGTGGTGGTTGGCAGCCGTCAAGGGAGGGGGGGACAAACGGATTCACACCCTGGGGCACCATCCCGGTCGATCTCAGGGTTGAGGGGGAGCCTGAGTAACCGTTGAGGCTGGCCGAAGGGGCCGAGAATAAACAGAAACCAGGGATCACGATGGCGATATGCTGAAGAACCAGGGAGAAGATGGGACGCCAAGGTGACCTCATGGTGGCCACTAAGTGGCCCGAGGGATGCGAGCCAAGGGTGCCATGGCCAAGGCATGAGCTGACCAGAGGCAGAACGCTGGCACGGACCCGTTGTTCAGCAAAAGTGTGGCATCCCATGTGCAGAAAGCATGAAACATGGTGAGGTTGGTGATGGGTCGAAAGCGGGGGTCGTTGTGGTGGTGCGGCTGCGTTGACTGCGGGATGGCGGATCCTCAGGGGTTGTGCAGGGGGAGATAGGGGGGAGCTTATGCAGGAACAGAGACTCGCTTGTGTCGTGCAAGCTCCACAGAGCGCCCCCCAAATCTTCCCGCCAGGCGCTTGCATCTTTGACCCACCCACGCCACATTCCGGAAGCGCCTCTCTTGCATGGCAACAGGGATTTTGGTGGTGTTCTGATCGCTCTGATCAGGGCCAGCCACGAGGTGCCTCAGTCTTGGCCGAACGCCCGAGAAGCTCGAGGACGAAATGGACGAATTGGATCCGGGTAGAAGTCCGGGAGAGCGGGCCGACCAGTTCCACCAGCATGACCTGAGACAGCAAGTTCGGTTGAGAGTTGAAACTGTGCGGTTAATAAACCTGCAGTATCTCTGACCTGGTACTCGGGTTCGGTCTAAAGGGCGCCGAGACGGTGGTTTTGTTCGTGGGCGGCCGGGTTAGAACCGCCTTGAGTCTTGGTGTCTTGGTGGTGCTGTAATCAATCTGGGTGAAACATGGAAGCGCGCGGCCACTTACCCGCGTGCTGTTTGCCGCTTCCCACCCCGACGGGCCAAAGCCCAGATCGAGTGTTGCGTGTTTCGCTACCGGGTTTGCAACACCCTAGATAATGCCGGCCCAAGATGAACTCCGATGTGGCTCGCTGCTGCGAGAGTTGCAGCCCCAAGCGGCAATGCCTAGGAGAGGCCTCCACGCATAAGAGCATCATTAATTTATTCAGGCGCTCAGCCCACAAGGTTTCATGTGCTAAATGAACGATGACGATGACGGTGGAAAAGGCATGGGACAAAAGTTTGGGCCGTTGAAATGACTTGGACCACTGGAGTAAAGCAGACAAATCCCATAACTACTTCGTACACAGTACGTACATACATGTACAAAGTGCAGACAGCTCAGGTTTGTTGTTTGAAGCGTGCCAGAGCTTTAGGGCCGGGGTGACTGGTGCAAGGGATCAGGGATCCACCTGAGGATGAGCGGGAGCTGCTGGGGCTCATCAAGGTCTTCTTGGATGACCAATCAGCGCCAGCTCCACATCTGAAAATCCAACTTCATCGCGACTTCCTGCGTGTCTTTGGTGTGGTGTTTTCATGTGTCGAATCGTCACTGCCGTCTTCGTTGGGACCAGGTGACAACTTCGGATGAAGCAGCTTGGTTTCTCCACTTTGAGAGCACAACACCTGTATCTTCCGGATCATCTTCACCTGTAACCCTCCGCCAGGGTTTGGCGCGACAACGACTCTGAATCGTTGCGCCTTGTATGGTGTTGCTGGGAAATGATCTGTTATTCATTTTTACAGTAAAAACTGTGCGACAAAGAGGTAAAGGACCAAAATATCCTTACGATGAACTGACTTGTGCATGTGGAACAAAAAAGTGCCTCATCTCTGGGATACAAGGAAGGGCTCACACTCGTTTGCAGTGTCCCAAATCGCTGAACATAAACTTCTCAACCGAAAAGCGATCTGCCCGAAAACCAAAAGAATCTCATCCCAAGTATACGACTTATAGATAGCGGCGAGAGTCTCGTTTCGGCAGAGTTTGCATTCTAAGAACGGCAACGCGAACAAGAAAAAAAAATAAAGACAATAAAAGCAACGACAACGGCGGCGGCAGCAACAGGAACAAAACAACAAAAAAAGAAAGAAAAAAAGAACACAAACAAAATCATACTGGAATACGTTGGATACCGGCTCATGCGTTTTATCCGCGATACTCATGCGAACTCGAGATATCTCTTCTCTCCATCCGCACTCACGAACTCAGAGTCTTCTCTAAAGCATCGGGCATAATTGAAGCATGTTTTTCTCTGCTTGCTACCGAGGACTGAGCCACTAACTTTGCCGCAGTCGCTTATTCTGGTTGATGCGCGTACCATGTCGGGACTTCTCACGATCGGGGGCTGTGGAACCCCCAAGCAAACAGTCAACCCAACAAGCGACTCGCCCGCCGACGGTATCGTCAGCAAACCAGTCCACCCCAATGTCTCTCCAGAACCAATCCAAACAACCCGACCGGGGGCCCATAGTTCCCACCAGAAGCCCCGTTGAGAAAGGCGAAAGCACTGGAAAGAGGGTTGGCTCGTTGGCACCGCTGGAACCGCTGGTACTGAAGGAATCAGCCTTAGAAACCGCGCGCAAGGTGGCCGACCGCGATGACACCAAGAACGGCAATAGTTCGAAAGACACGAGCGCCTTCGATCGAGACATCTCCAAGCTACCTAAAACCTCTAGTTTCAACAGCCATCAAGAAGCGAGCCGCGAACGGACCGACCCAACCTCGACGAGTTTATCAACCCGTGATCAGGCTAACAGCAGGAAGAACCCAGAACTAATGGGCCCCAGACCTGTACTCTCGGGACAGGGCCTACAGATAACACCTACCAAAGATAGTGGGACAACTCGGGCCGCCGCTAACAACAAGCACACTGCTCGCTCCGAAGAAGCCTCGTCTGACGATGTCTTTGCCCGCCTACTGAATCAGGTCCCCGACCTTAAGGACTTCCTTGAAATGAGTGATTACTATGACGTGGAGGCTCGGACCAGAAAGCTCACCCGGTTTCGAAGGTTAAAGGCGCTCGCGGCCGAGAAACTAAAGCTCGAGGAGGAGGAGCGGAAACTCAGGCAGGAAGAGGAGCTGGATATGGGACCACCACGGTCGACAGTCGCACTGTTCGCAAGCACGGCATCCAGCGCGGCCCCTAGCGCAACCCCGGATTTGGAGACTGCCAGCTTACCAACCCCGGTCACCCCAGTGCCCAGCAGCATGGGCACTCGTGAGATCAAAGAGTCGGCGCCCGCTAACGGCACCAAGCGAGCGCGCGAAGAAGATGCCTCCCAAGACCGCCAAGAGAAGGCGCCGCGGCTCGAAGAGCCCATGCCGCCCCGCGTAAAGGAGAGGGACGATAGGCCCCGCCATGACGACAGGCACAGAGAAGACGATCGGCGAGATGAGCGCGACTACCGCCGCGACTCGTGGTCTCGGCACGACGACCACTCCTTTCGGAGCTCGCCTCCTCGGCGCCGACATCGAGACGAGGACGACTACGATGGCCGTTACCGACCTAATGGTTACAAGGGCGATGACCGTCACCATCGTGATTTGGAGAGCCGTTCAAAATACCCGATCCATGTTGATCTAGGCTCCAAAGGCGGTTAGTTTCTCATTTTACGGCTACTCCTTCAAGGTCCCGTTGAGTTTTGGCTTTTGGCTGTTGCGCCTTGGAACGGCATCAAGCCTGGTGTTTCACTAGCTTTATCGACGGTCCATTCCATGAGCCAACAGCTAATTGAATTATGGACTAGACTCACGTTTCTTCATTGTCAAATCGTTCAACCACGAGAATGTGAGGATATGTATGGAAGAGGTACGTGTGCACGTGGCGCTCTCCCGTTGCCAGGGGCGAGGGATGGAAAGCGGCTTCACCTAAACCACGCTCCTAATCGCTGACCGCGGCACAGAATCTCTGGACGACACAACCCCGAAACGAAGAGATTCTCTCCGAAGCATTCGCCAAGTGCAAGAACGTCATTTTGTTCTTCTCTATTAACGGGAGCAAAGCGTTCCAGGGCTATTGTAAGCCTCTCTCTCCTGCCCCCCTCTGGCCCATGGCCCCCCCCCCCCACTAACATCCGCTCCCTTGGACCCAGGGGCCGATGACATCCGGCCCATCCCCGGACAACCCTCGCCCCTCCTTTGTCAAGGTTCTCCGCTGGGACACGCGCGCCCCCTTTGGGGTGCAGTGGCTCAGCAAGACGTCGGTCCACTTCTTCCGCATCGGGCACCTCAAGAATGCCTATAACGAGGTACCAGCCCGTCTTGGTCGGCAAGGGACGGGCAAGAGATCGATGGGGGAGTGCGGGTCTTCGGCTGCTGCGGGAGATGGAAGAAATTGCGGCGGGCCGTGACTCTTGGGGCGGGGGGACCAACGGTGATGGTGGGCATTCGTCGGGGGAGATATGGTGAAGAGGAGAGGGGGAGGGGGACAGGTGGTACGACCGTTTCGTTTGCATGTTGTGACCTGGGACTATGGTTGTTATGTATGGGAATAGAGCATGTCTGGCGGTAGCCAGTGATTGCATTGGTTTTGAAACAAGGGGCTTTAAAAGGGG